CTATCCTGGCGATTTGCAATTTCTTACAATATTGTAAAATTGGCGAATGCGCCGGTGTTAATTTATATATATTTTACAATATTGTAAGAAATTGCGTTTACGTTACGTTACGTTACGTTTATTTAGCTAAAGCTATTATAGTTTCTTACATAAATAAATACATTACATATACACGTTTTGTTTAAAACATTGGGCATTCTTGCATTCTTGTGAATCTGTTATACTTAATGTATGTGATGAGTGGTACAAATGTTTAGAAAATAATAAATTTGTGGTAGCTGTGTTTTTGGATTTTAAACGGGCATTTGAAACTGTGGATAGAGATTTATTGGTGTGTAAGTTGAAAGGAATAGGACTGGGAGGCAGTGTTTTAAATTGGTTTAAGTCTTATCTAAAAAATAGATCGCAAAAAGTAAAATACAAAAACTGTTTATCTGAAAAATTAGAAACTAAATATGGTGTGCCACAGGGAACTGTACTTGGTCCTGTTCTTTTCAACTTATACATTAATGATATAGTTTATCATGTACAAAAATGTAAATTGTGCATGTTTGCAGACGATACCATGATATATATTACAGGTAATAATTTAGATAATATGTTTCAATGTATTAATGATGATCTTAAATCATTATATGATTGGCTTTGTGATAACAATTTATGTTTAAATTTGAGTAAATCTAAATATATGTTAATAGGAAAAAAATTTGCTATTTCAAAGCTTAGAAATCTCACACATGAAGTTAAAATAGATAATATTGCAATTGAAAAAGTTCATGAAATTAAATACCTGGGTGTAAACATAGATGAAAATCTTAGTTTTAAAAGCCATGCCTTGCTAATAATGAATAAAATGTCCAAAAAAATTAACTTTATGAGAAGAATAGGTAATTATCTAAGTATGTCAACTAAAATGCTGTTGTATAAATCCATTATAGCGCCACACTTGGATTATTGTGCCTCTATATTATTTATTTTAAATAAAAACGAAAAGGAACAATTCCAAGTTTTACAAAATAAAGCTATGAGGTCAATCTTGCATTGTAACAGATATACTCCAATTAATATTATGTTGGAAGTCCTCAATTTTATTAATGTTAACCAAAGACTATTATACCGTACTCTTGATTTAGTTTATAAAATAAAAAATAAAATGACACCATTGTATTTATATAGCAAATTAATATTTGTTAATAATGTTCATGAATATAACACGAGAACAGCAAGTGATTTTTATGTGGATACAGCAAGTGGTTGTGCTCTTTATAGAACAATATTCTATAATGGTCTAATTTTGTTTAATAACTTACCTGTGATAATTAAAAGTGAGTCAAATTATAGTAAATTTAAAAGGGCACTATCATTTTATGTACACACAAACGTTTGATTTTGGATTGTGATAATAAGTATATTTATATATAAAATGTAACATTTATAGCTTTCGCTAATAAACGATTTATTTATTTATTTATTTATTTTACCTCTTCCCTCCATATACATTTTTAAAATTCTTAAATTTGTTTATGGTTTAAGAAATACATACAACGTCAACACTAAAGTTCATAGCCATAACACCAGGCAAAAATACAACTTTTATCTGCCGCGGGCCGCGGAAGAAATTCGTCTAGGGGGGGGCCTTAAAGTTTTTTACAATTTTGATAGATGTTATTTATAATCAAGTTGTACTGTAGAAGTTTACATTAAACTTAAGTCAAATAAAATATCATCTTTATACAGGTTGTCCCAAAAGTCAACGAGATCCTTTGGAGGACTGATAGACCAACTCATGACAAAGCAGAAAATCAAAATATGACCTAAGTAAAAAATCGTTAGTTTTTGACATTTTATGAATTTTGCATAACTTGACACTTTAGATTAGTTTTTCGAGTGCTACAGCTACAAAATCTGCTATTAATTTAATTTTGAATTGTAATTAATAGCAGTCCTATTCAGGGTTTTTGTGTCAAGTTTCACAAAATTCATAAAAATGTCAATATCTTAAAAACTAATGATTTTTTACCAAGGTCATGTTTTGATATTCTGATTAGTCATGAGCTGACCTATGAGTCCTTCAAAGGATATCGTTGACTTTTGGGACACCCTGTATGTATATTTGTAAATTTGACACAATATATTAGCGCCATCTATATATCAATTCACTAGGCTTATGAAGAAATCTATTCTATAGTCAACTTTTTGAACATATATAGTTCGTATATAGAAATATGTCAGCCAAGAGCGTCTTACTCAGGGATGGGCAAGATCCGGCAAAAAGGATTTAAATTTAAATCCATAAATCCACACCATAAACTGGATCTAAATCCTCAATCATAAATCCATTACGTTATCTGGATTTAAATCCTGAATCCATAAATAAATCCTCTATTTTTTTAATATTTATTTCATTAATTTTCCAAGAAAAGTTTCCGGATTATTTCAATTTTTAAGTTTTATTTAAGCTAAAACCCCTTGGATTCCAAATCAAAATTTTACAACTGTAACACCACTAGTGTTCATTAAGACGGCACAATGAACAAATGATAACGATCAGCACTTACCGTCAAATTATGGAGTACCGGATTTTCTGGGTATGAATTTCCAGGGGGGGGCCCGGGCCCCCCCCTGCCCCTATGTAGCGGCGCCCATGGCCGCGGCCCAGAGTTGACATATTTAAGAATTCACCAGGCTACCAGGGTCAGAAGTTCTTCAATGCATTACCAGAAGAAGTCAAACAAATAAACAGTTATACTCAATTTAAAAAAAAGATCTTGGCAATGCTTAAGGAAAATAATTTATATAGTATAGATGGATTTCTAAAATTTTTAAATAAATAATATATAGTATTACATTTTTGTAAATATAATTGATGTTATAATATTTTGTATTTTTATCTTTTGACATGTCTTATACAATTGTAAAATTGTCTTTTTGACTAATAAATATATTATTATTTATGTCAATAGTAATTTTTTAAAGTTATTATAATTATCACAATTTTTAGTTTCTGTTGGTAAATTATTAAACATAATAAGGCCATTTTTAAAAACACTGTTCATAAATTTAGCAGTTCTAGAAGTTTTTATATAAAAATCATTTGTATTTTTAGTTTGATATGCATGTATGGAATTAACATATTGTAACTTGTCACATAGATATTTTGGCACTTTTCCGTGTTTTATTTTATATATATTAGGGTGTTTCTTATTTGACCGATGTCGAAAATTTAATCGTGCCGCCCCCTTATTTGTTTTTAAAAAATATAAAAAAAATGTATGCCAAATTTGAATGTCCTAACTTATTTCCTTCTATTGCCTGTAACAACGAGAAGTTTTCCAGATAGAGGATTTTTGCCTTTAATGTATTAATTTTTTAAAATTACTATTAATCTATGAAAAAGTATTATTTTTTGAAAAAATGTAGAGGATATAGGTTACTTTAAAACAAAAAAAAGAAATCATGTATTTGTATCTTAAGGTCTTTTTTACTTCCCTCTATTATTACTTACAGTTTTTTATATAGAGGATTTTTGCTTTAAAACGCAATCATTTTATAAAATCATTAATAATTAATAAACAATTTTAATTTTTTGAGGAATTGAAGGGATAATATGGCACAAAAAGTTTAATTTGACAATGTTTAATATATTTTGTAATGTCATTTATATACAATATAAAAAGTAAAGGACCTAATACTGTTCCTTGTGCGACTCCATGGCAGGTTGGTAATTGACTTGAAAACATATTATTAAATTTGACTTTTTGATATCTTTCTGTAAGGTAAGAAATCATCCAACTTAAAGCTTTATCATCTATACCTAATTTTTCCAACTTTTTTATTAATAATAACCTATTTACAGTTTCAAAGGCTCTTTTAAAATCAAGGAAACCGCAATAACAATGTTATTATTATCTATAGTTTTTAACCAGTTATCACATATACTCAAAATTACCAATTCACATGAATGTTTTTCTCGAAAACCTGACTGACGTTCTGATATTATATTATGTTCGTTTAAATATTGCACAAGTTGATTTTTAACTATAGTTTCAATAATTTTTTCATGAGGGTGGTAAAACATTTATAGGTCTATATTCTTCACTTAAAATTGTGTTATTAATCTTTGACACTGGCACAATTACCGAATTCTTCCAAATATCGGGAAATACGCCTTTTGGTGTTGATCACATCCAAATATCTATTTGCAACTACTTCAATGGAGTCCTTTAATATTTTTGTTGAAATTCCATCTTCAGATCCATTTTTATGTCGCATTCCCATAACGACCTTATTAAGCTCTTGTATGTTAATAGTTTTATATTTGTTCAGTTTAGTATGCGTTTCTATGTTTTTTAAATAATAATCCCAGTCATAAAACTTATTTTAAATAAAATAATTAATAATATAAATAAGTTATTTATATTATTAATTATTTTATTTATGCTCTCTATAAAGAATATATTAAAATTGAAAATAATGATAAATATTACATTAAAACATTTTTAACAATAAAAATTATAAAGTAATCGGCAGATGTCAATTTTTAAACAAATATAATTGACTTTAAATTATATTTTGTGTTCGTTGTATTTAATAATCTTCTCTAGACAATCGCTTTTACTAAAAAATCGCTCGCAAGCTTCGTTCATCCTTAATTAAACTTGTAACTAAAATGGTATATATACAACTTAATACATAATATACTACTAATAATAATAATACTAAAAAGGTTTTTAAACACATCCCTGGCATCTTGATAGTCAATATGATAATATCCTTTCTACAATGTATTAATGAACCCTTAATAATGCATGATAAGTGATGATGATAAGGTGTTTTATTACAGAACACATAAAACATTTTATAATAAAGTAACATGTATAAGATTGTAAAATGTTTATTTTAACTACGTTTTTTTGGTGGCGAGACTCTATAAGCTATTGAAAAAATTGTGTGGAACTATTTTACCCTGGGACCAACCCAAATGGAAAGAAAATGTAATATCAATTTTTACTCCGGTTGATTGCTATTGCAGCGTTGTAAACAGAAGAATATACGTTTTCTAAAATTCATAAAAATGTATTGTTATTGAAAAACAATGATTTCTTTTTTTTAATTTTTAAACTTGCTTCCCCACATTCTTTTAAATTAAACTTTTTACGCAGTTTTTGTTTAATAACGCGTAAAAAACGTGTATCCAGTAGTAGATTTTAAAATAAGACGTACACATTTATGAGGCGATGTGTTAAAATAGCACGTGTTCCACACACTTCTTTTCACAGTGAATGTAAAACTTATTAAATAAATTTAAGTTTAAAAAATGTAAAATAATTAAATTAATTAATGTATAAAACTTTAACTTTAGGAAACTTAAATATTAGTAAAAAAATCAGATTTAATTTAATAAGATCATTATTTCCAATAAAAAGTGATATAGGTATACTATTATATTATTATTGAAAAATTAGTGAAGAATGGAATACAAAGGAGAAATCGATTTTTTTATTACAGCGCCATCTTTTTAGTCGAATGATCCAAATCTGCAATAAAAAAATAGGGTGTTCCATTGGAAATTTTAAAGTTCTCCATGCCCTCCCTATATATATATATAAATATATATATATGGATGAAAGTATGGGAAATGGTTTCGGTACTAATTTATTTCCCCCCTCCAATCATTTAATTTTTATTTTAAAATTTTTTTCGTAAAATGGCTATTTACTAAGATATTTCAAAGTTTCAAGTTAAAAGACTCACCCTGTATATTAGGGTGCTCCATTTAAAACGAACATTTTTTTTTCGCTGACACATGAAAATTTTGTTCCATTTATCAAAAAAAATGTTCCCTGAAAATTTGAGCCCTTAATTTTAATTTTATAAAATAAAAATAACCACTTATAAGTGGTTCCTCTCGATCGATGTATATTTCCCATTTAAATAACGTGTAAATCATGATTTTTTAAATTTAATTTAATATAGCTCCGTTTGATTTCATGGTATTTTATTGCGATTAGTCAGAATTTGTAGTATATTAGTGACTCTTTGAAAGTGCCCACACAAATTTCCTACAAAAATACCCCTCTATGGATTTTCTGAGGTGCGTAGTCCAAAAGTTATGTATTTAATTGTTGAATAAAAATTTATTGTTTATAACAGTTTTCAAATTTCAATATTTAGTTCTACTTTATTTACTACTTCAATGAAGTTCATGTATTTTTTGTTTACATTTTTTTGTGTGCTTGTTATGCGTCGTTAAAATTATAATATAACCTCCAAAATAATGTCAAATTGAGCATCGTTTTCATCTTTCTGTCTCTTCTTCTTTTATACCATTATGAGTAAAGAAATCGGTAAAAAACGTATAATTATTTAGTCGTATTTGTAGTTAATAAGTTGAATAATAATAGATTGGCTACGCATAGAGAAGTAATAAATGTTTTTTTATAATAAAACACGGATTTAACTATCTTGGAGTCCCGCGGTAAAATTATAAACGTTTTTTTAAGGTTAACAGTGCCATAGATAAAAATAAAAGTTACAGGTGCAAAAATGAATTTTCTAATTTTTTCTTGTTTTTAAAGCCTATTTTGGTATATTTATACCAAGAAAAGAAAAAAATTACACTCAATAATAAAAAATAATAGAAATTCACATTTTATTCTTGAAGATAAGGCATTGAAAAAAATTTCAATATCCGATATTACCGATCTTTTTTTATACAATTAAAATTAAAATTTCATATTTTTTTTAGATTTTAATGCATTTTAAAAAATGTTTATACCTTTTGGACTACGCACCTCGGAAAATCCATACAGAGGTATTTTTGTAGGAAATTTAATTTCCTACAAATTGTTTTTTGACAATTTTTTTATAACTTCAACTGTTTTGTTGATTTTTGAGAAAATTGGGCTTTCGAGGTCGAAACCGATGAGACGGGTTCAAGAACAAAAAAAATTTGATTCACTAATATACTACAAATTTTGACTAATCGCAATGAAATACCATGAAATCAAACGGAGCTATATTAATTTAAATTTAAAAAATCATGATTTACACGTTATTTAAATGGGAAATATACATCGATCGAGAGGAACCACTTAAAATTAAAATTAAGGGCTCAAATTTTCAGGGAACTTTTTTTTTGATAAAAGCAACAAAATTTTCATGTGTTTGTTTGAAACAACGTAAACTTTTTGCATATTATTTCTTTAAAGACTTGTTTTAGTCCAATAAACATAAAGAATAAAATAACAGACTCTAAAAGTATAGATATTTTTTAAATTCTGGAGATTCTGTTTAGTAGTTTGTACATTAAAATTGATATAAAATGGTAAAATTGATTTTTATTTTTATCGAATAAAAATGCCAATAAAAATAATTTTATATTCAAAATTGAGATCGACCTTTATCTAATTTGCTTTAAATTATTACATATTTATGGGTTGCCAATATTGACTTTCTGAAACCCGACAAAAATATTGATTTGAGATTATTCAATAATTGAATTTTACAAGAATACCGAACCTTACTTCAATAGGTTAAAAGTTAATAATAAATACAATCAACTAAAATATTTAGGCAAGTTGTTAAATTGTCATGGTTAAATATTGAAAATGTTCGTTGTTCGTAGTATTGCAAATAGACCCATAATAGTATATTAAAGAACAAATGAACGGGTGAGAAGCAAAAGGGTACAAGTGCATTTTAGCATGCCAATAAGTAAAGTGCATAATTGAATAGTTAAGAGTCCAAATTTTTTTTTATTTTCTCATAACATGAAAATTGTACGAGTTTTGAATGTTCATTAATGCAAAAATTAAAACAAGTATCAAATTGTATATTGCAAAAGCTTTACTTAATAACTCCACTTCTTTTTTTTGCACTTGTTCACTTTTGCTTCTTACCCCTTTTTTTCGCACAAGTACAATTTACAAAATGAGCGATGAAGGAGTAAAGTGTTAAAAAATTAAATAAACCACTTTTAATTTTTTATTTAAGTAACCTAATTGTATTACTGCTACCTAACTTACTTATTTTTTTTATAACATAAAAATCTTAATATAATTCTATGTTATAATAATTGTAGTAATTATAATTATAATAAGAGAACATTTTTTAAATTTACAGTAAATATATATATATATATACAGGGGCGTGCTGGCTATATCAGACCGGCCCGGGAAATTCAGAAAAATCGGCCAACTACACACGAAAAATGAGGGGTGAACAAAACCAAGTTAAAAATTTCAAACATTTATTAATAGTTAATAACATAAAGTAAAAATTAAATTCTTGAAAAAAAACAGGCAACAAACACAACCAGACAATATTTTACACAATGCTAAAACATATAGCATTGCACTTTAAATAAAAACTAATACAAATTATCATCGCTCAGGAAACTTATAAACAATATACAATCTCGAAAAAAGAAACAAAGCTGGCAGGCTGGCATGTATAGTATGTGTAAAATAATTATGATATTTATACATAACTCAACTAAAAAGTTTTTAATTGACCACGTGCTGCGGCATGCTGCCTACATAGACCTCCGGCACACCGGCCCACTTAGCCCTCCGGACCACCGGCCCACCGGGATTTCTCCCGGTGTCCCGGCGGCCCAGCACGCCCCTGTATATATATATATATATATATTAGGGTGTTTCTTATTTGGCACAAACAAATTAAATTAATATTTTTTTATGAGGCACCCTGTGTATTTTTTTTTAATTTTCACACAAAGTTTAGAGGTCGCTACCGCACCTTGAAATTTGGTATATTAAGAAAAAACAGATTTTTTTTAATTATTCATAAATTTTATTTTTAACAAATAAGACCAATATTTATTTTTATTCATTATCTAAATAAACAAAAAAAAACATTTAAACGACATAGTTTTCGCATATTATGGAATATAAAATTATTTAAGCAAAGTAGATTTTTTTGAATCTGAGTACTTTTTCCTATACTGTTTAACCAATAATAATATATATTGTTTTTGTTCTTCATTTGTGGTGTGTAACTTGTTGTATTCTTCCATCAATGCCACTCCCCGCTCAGCAATATCATTGACAACCTTCATGGAACAAACAATTTCTTTACTTGCTTTATAATCATCATCTTCTTCCCAAATTCAACATTTTTCTCCAAAAACGTCGATGAAATTCCTGTAATGCTAAAAAATCTGCGAGTATTGCTGGAAACAAAATCTTCCAGACTTTTGTTTTGAATAACATTTTCATCTAACATTATACGCTTCATAGGACTCTGATCTACTCCTTCGTTTTTCAAGGCATCCACCATCTTTTTCTTTATTTTAAGATCGTCATCGTCATCGTCAAAAAAAGCAAACGCAACAAGCTCTTCTGATAGGTACCAGAGGTGGCCAAGAATTTTTTTCAAGGCAACTTTTGAAATTGCTTCATTCAGTTCCTCATACGATTTCAAGTCTTTTAGCAACTGCAGATCATTTCTAGGCGCACAAGACCCAGCAGGAGCTTGAAACCAGTATATTATATAAACTTTTACTGTAAAAATGCATGCTTCATGAATTCCTGACTCTTCTTTTTTAGTAAGTTTGAACTGGTCTCTAAATAAATAAATCTTTAACAAGTATATGGCTTTTGCCATCCACCTAGCCCGATGAATACCAGCAGGAGCTCTAAAAGATATTCCCTTATCTGGAATCCCTCCTAGAAATATAATTGCAAGTTTCAGGAGCTCCTTGTAATCATCTCGTGGCTGGAACTTTGTGAGCTGATTCTGGGCAAAATCAATGATCTCTTTAGTTATATTGTTCACTTTTTTTAAGGTAGAAGCATCCGAAGTAGCAGTTTTGAAGTCTGTCTGATTTATTGTGTTCCAGGCTTTCTTAAATCTTTTAAAAATCAATACTTCTGAACCTGTCGAAGGTCCAAGTGCTTGAAGAAGCACAGCCTCGAGCATGATTTCCATAATGTGGTGACGACAGGCCAACCACAACATATCCTTTTTTATCTTTTGTTCTAGCAAAATGCATGCTCCATTCCTTGGTCCAGTATTAGTTGCAGTCGTATCAAAACTCATGCATTTTATTTGGTCGTCGAGCCCCCACGTTAATAATGTTTCATAAACGGCTGAAGCAGCTGAGTCTCCTGTCCCGCAAGAAAGTTTTGGCACGATAATTGGAAGACGATCTACGATTTCATGTCCGCTGATATCTTCTATCATTTTTCCATCCCAATGAATGGTAAGGGGCACTTCTGCCCTAAACTCACTCTTCAAAGACTCGGCATTTTTCTGTCGAATTTTCATTCGCTGTCGACGAACAGAAGAAGGATTAATATTATATATTGAAGGATCACAGCCGAGGCTTTGAAGGGTAGTCGTCAGGACTGCGGTTGCTTTTCGATTACTTAACTTCGCAACATCAAGACTAATAGCCAAATTATCGTTTAAAAGTAAAGGTTCTTTGGTTGTTGAGGATGTAGGTAATGAAAAAGTTGATAAATCTGCCTCATCATTACTTGATGAAGAAGACGAGACTTGAAAGGGATGTTGCTTAGTGACTGATGCAATATCCTTTTGTTCTTGCTTAAGCATTCTTTTCTTACGAATTTCTTTCTGTTCAGCCCATTTTTCTTTTTTGTGAATGCTATGGAAGCTGATCTATCTAAGTTACCAATTTGGCCGCGACGATCTTTCTCCCGATGCGCAATTTAAAAATCCTTGTCTTCCTGAATACGAATCATATTTAAGGCATCAGCGTGGGCTATGTCAAAGAGGTTTTTCAGTTTCATATGCCATTTCTCTTCTTTTTGTTTCATGCCTTCCGAACGCTTAGCTTTATTTTCCTTATTTTTCTTTAGTTTCTGCCAATCCCTAAACAAGTTTTCTACTTTTCCTACTACGTGTTTCTTTAACTGTTTTGGTATCCCGGCCTTTTCCCAGACCGACAACACATCATCTGCAGTGAAATGGCAACATTTTTTTATGTTTTGCTTGCTGTCACTTTTATAGTGAAAAAAAAGACGTAATACCTCTTGTTTTGTTGGAAGTTTAGCTTGGCTTATTGATGATGACGTCTGGCCGACCAGCCATATATCTGTCTTTCTTCGAGTAGTTACAGCCGAATTGCTACAGGATGCTGATAAACTGGATGCCATTATACCAGACATTGCTATTTTATTAGCTCTAATAGCTTAACTGTAAGTAAGAAAATAAATATTAAAACATGTCACTTCGCTTAATATAAAATAACAATATATTGGTTTATAAATAGGTGTATTCCTATTGAGCATTTTGACTATAGAATGGACGTCAGGGACATGCGCTACTCCCTGACGTCCATTTAGCACTCAAAATTCTCAGTATGAACACTCCTAAAAATAAACAATAAAGCTCACCAAAGTAAATAAAACAAGATAGTTACTCTCTGCGATTTAGTGCGAACGTGACCTGTCAACAATTTAGACTTTACTGGCGGTAATAATGATAATGTGGGAGGGGCAAGTAATTGTCGCTGGTAGCGCATGCGTAGTCAGAGAGGCGTAAAAATATTAAATTTTTGATATAATATAGTTATAGTAATATATAAGTTCGAGCATGTACGATTTAATCTTTTACGGTTGTGCTTGAATTAAGTGAAATTTAACTAAACTTTGATATGCGGTAGCGACCCCTAAAACTTAATTAAATTTAATAAAATTTTACACGGGCTAGTTTTTCAGATGGGGTAATAAAATAACAGGGTGCCCGGGTAATATTTCACAACTTCATTTTTAAGAACCACCCTAATATATATATATATATATATATATATATATATATATATATTTGTATATTGTTTTGTATGCCTTAGAAACTGTGTGCGCAAATTGATTTTAAATAATAATATAAATAATAATAATTTTATATTAAAAGTTTTAACACTAACAGTAAATATTTTAATACTTACCCCAACTTAAAATAAATGACAATCAAATCAAACCTAATAATAAGGGGTATGGAAGCAAAGTCAGCAATCTCCTTTTTTAGTTACGAGAAATGTGGTAAATATCAACGCCACAAAATATTTATGTCAAATACCTTAAAACTTGCAATGTCCATCGCACTGGGTGAAGCAAAAACGGCAATCCCCATTTCGACCACATGTTTTACCATTAAGTAGGTACCGGAAAATACAAGAAAAAAGTGAATTTTAAATTTACCTATTACTATATCTTTAAGAGAAGTTACTTAAAAATTAAGAACTGATTACTTTATTTGTAAAAAGGAACACTTTTGTAAAATTATACGGACTGTATAAATAATCCTAAATATTAAGGATTGATATTTTATTTTATTTACGTTAACAATTTATTCCTTTTTTAATTTTAGGTCATATTAAAACATTTTTTAAATAATCCCTAGTAATTTCATTATATGTATTTTTTTTCAAATTTGTACGATCTCCAAATGTTTGAAGCATAAGTGGCAATATTCAAACTTAAATTGCTTATTACTTTACTAATATTAAAATAATTAAGTTCTATTGTAAGTAAAACTTGGATGTAAAAATAAAAATAAATAACAAGAAAACGTAAAAAAACAAATTTAACGTTGTATTAGACAATATAAACAATTTCACAAAGTGGAGATTGATGGTTTTGCTTTTATACCCCCAAATATGTTAGACATGTAACTGCTTTTGGTTTTTCCTATAACCAAAAATATTTTATCACCTGCATTTCACACATAAGATTTTAAATCTAAATTGACGTAAATTTGGTCAAATTGTATTTCTTTATAAAAGCTTATTAGCGTAAAATATTTTATGACTTACATTAAAAAGTATATAAAATATATTTTGGCTTGGTGAAGTGGTGGTCAACTTGGCACAGATTTAAAATTTGTATAAATGGACTTTAATAACACAGTACAACACGATTTCCCTCCCATGAAAAATTTTAGCAGATTTTGAAAATAGAGGTAAAAAAAACGTACCCGTGTCTCACAGTTTCACGAGATCACGTCATAAAAAAATTTTAAACCGTCATTCCTATTATTTATGCTTATACAGATTGTACATTTTTTACTCGGTTAAAAATATATTTTTTTGTAAATATTTTATGTTTTTACACAATACAAAAAACAAATATAAAAAAGTTTATATTTTGATTTTTTTTAAATAATTTTTTTTTAATTTTTTTTTTAATGAAACACATTTTTGTATTTATCTTATATTCAATACATGTTGGAATAAAATCGTTTAGTTTGACGATTATACAGCTCGTTCAGACTAAAACCGAATATATCTATATATATCCATATATATGGGGCGTGGCCTCGCCTCCCTCCAACGCGCGACACAGTAGCTAAGCAAATAGACTGCATCGCTAATGAGATTTTTTGCATTATTATCTTTTAATTTTTTAAGTCCTTACCTGCTCGACCTTTCGTCATGTCGTTTATCACACAAGCAACTGTGACGCGCCTTGGAGGGAGGCGAGGCCACGCCCCATATATATAGATATATTCGGTTTTATTCTGAACAGGCTGTATATTGCTTCAGAATCTCGAACAATTGACCAGCAATATTCAACCAGCAAATGCCTGACGTCTTTTCCCTTGAAGCGTTTTTCAATTGTTAAAATGTCTTGGTGAAAACGTTCGCCATGTTCGTCACTAAAATCGCCCAAATTTGGTGGAAAATAATCCAAATGAGCATGGAGAAAATGTATTTTTAGTGAAATATTTACTTTCATGTCCTGTGTTATAAAATGTACTTTATAACCCGAACTACAGGGAATAAATTCAGATTCCATCTCGGAAAAAATGGTTGTACTGGGTGTTAAAGGTCTTTTACTTTTATCCTCACATATGTTTTCTGAAGGAGCAGTTGGATAATCTTAAGATCGCACTCTTGCGAGAATGACGGATTCTACATCGGCGTAATCAATTTTCTCTCTAGAATTGTACCGAAATCCAAACCTTTTTAATTTTGACATGCAGAAATAACACTGGTCAGATGCGTGTTCGGTACGTCGCGACGGGTCGAAGCCAAATTGTTGGTGCAACATATTTCATACTGTGTGTTTTATCTTGCAATCCATGCAAACAACGGTAACAATAATCGCATAAAACCTCTGGTACATACCATAAGTTTGGTATATACGTCACCAAAAAATAGTCTTCAAAAGCTGTTACTACACTTTTTGTAATATTTCGCATATGGCTTGGAGGTGCAAATAAACCACATACATAACAAAAATTATTTCGATTCGGACACTGCATTTTTACTTTGATTTCAAATGGATGGTTAACTCAACAATCAAAATTAATATGAAAAATTTATCGATTTATCGCTGCAATATTGTTTTTATTTAACATTAAAAAAAAAGTATTACCCTCGTATAAAGATTGTTTTGAAAACAATGCTTTTTATGTATAAATGCCGCAGAGGTGTAATTTTTTTGTTTTTTTGCTGTTTCAATTGACTTCGTATACTTAAATACTTTTTTTTACTTAAATTAAATGTTTTAGGTACACTTGCTTTAAGACTTAAATCAATTAATTTAAATATCTTTTAATTTTTTTTTAAAATGTTAATTCAACAAAGCTCAATTTTTACAAAAAATTGAATAAATAAAAATTGTAATCACCCGACTTTAAAGCATTTTGATTGGCTTAAAATTGAAACATTTTGTTACTTGGTTTAAAAATAAACCGTTTGATATATATATAAATGTGCAAAACTATGTATAAGATTAAAATAATTTTAAAATGCATCTATAATGGTTGCCTATCCATTTAGTAAATATATATATTTTTAACTATGCAGTCCAGATGTTATCGAGTCTATTAAATTATGTCGCGAATAGTGTGAATAACATTTTATTGGATAGCCCTTAAAAAAAAATTATGACGTGATGTGAAAAAACGCCGAGACACGGGTATCATTTTTTTAACTCTATTTTTAGAATCTGTAGAAATTTTTCATGGGAGGGACCAAAAATCAAATTTTGTCGTACTGTGTAATAATAAAATATTGTTCATTTTCAAATATGTAAAAAAATATACTTTAAATAATAAATATGTTTCATTAACGTCATATATCATTAAGATCTTAAGTCGACTTAAAATTTAAAATGCATTTATTTATAAAATTTAAATAAAACTTTAAAATGCCTTAATCGCATATTTCTCGTTGAATTAAACTAAAGTTCCTTTATAATTAGACAAAAAAATTAAATTTCCATAGTTGCTGGTGAAAAACCTATATAGAAAATCCTTTTACCAAGTGTTCTTTTGATAAAATTTATACTTTGTAAGTCTAAAAATATAAAATATTACTTTTTATGAGTGTAAAATAAATCTTGTAAAACTTATATAATGAATTTATTCAGAGTTTAAAAAAAAACAAGAACTGTTTAAAGCAACCGGAATTCTTAATAAATCGAGTTATGTTTTGACTGTAATAAAGTATGATATCAGCTAACATTAAAAAAAGCTTTCTTGTGCCTTATTTTGTTTGTAATAAAAGTCGCTTTAGACGCATTAAAAAAATATGCTGAAGTTTCTTAACCTTGTTGTTTTGATGAACGGGCAAAAAGGCAAAATAA